TTATTATTATTATTATTATTATTATTATCAATAATAATACTTAAAACAAGTGATATTTAATCTCATGAATAATCAAAACCTTGTATAATTGTAAGACTATCTGACGACCATTCCAAACGATACTGTAACTATGGATAGTACTTATCGACATGTAGTTGTAGAATACCGTCACGATGTAGTCGGATTAGTTCCATAAATTCTTTCCCAAACTCATGTGCGTATTTTACCAGTGTAGCATTTTCGTAGTAGTGGTAGGAGTGTGGACGGTTTTATATCCATACAAAAAAGTTCTATAGCTCTATATAAATTTATATAGAGTTATATATAGAATAATCAAAACCTTGTGTAATTATAAGACTATCTGAAGACCATTCCAAACGATACTGTAACTATGGATAGCACTTATCGACATGTAGTTGTAGAATACCGTCACGATGTAGTCGGATTAGTTCCATAAATTCTTTCCCAAACTCATGTGCGTATTTTACCAGTGTAGCATTTTCGTAGTAGTGGTAGGAGAGTGGACGGTTGTGTATGTCTGTATAAAATGGCCAAAATCCATAAAGATGAATCTCTTCGCAAAGTAAAACTGCTGACGTTGCGAAATAAAAACCTGTTAAAAGCAAATAAAATGAAATACATTAGTGATTTCCATCATGATTCAATAGAAGTTTTCGAAATGGCAATATTATTATAAGAGGTCATATGCAAATTATTAAATTTGCAGGAAACAGAACTAAAACTACAGATATAATCCAGCAGAATACGACGGACAAGCAACCCGCTATCAAATTGTCATTGGTTAGTAACCAATGACAATTCAAGATACCATTTTTATAGCAGACGTATAGCAAAATGTAGATACGTATGGAACGCATCTTCGAATTCTAATATAGTACGCCCTCTACCTTGTGTTAATACTTTTAATTTTCGTTTAATTGCGTGCATGCAAAATCATGTGTATGCTATTGTATACTCTTTGCTTGAGCATAAAAAATATTGAATTTCATATAAGTGATTTCATATATTGATGTAAATAAACTAAACAAACACTTCCAGTGACTGGAAGTGTCTATCATTTTTCGCTGTAAAAGTATGGGTAAACATTTTTTTAAATACACTAATTTCTATGTTTAAGAAATTTGTGTTACTTCAAAACGAGCAATGATATTTTTTTGTGATATTTTTCATTTGACAATACCGGTACATCTTTAAATAAAGAAGTAAAATTAATTGGCGTCAACACACTCAATGTTATTGAGTTAAGACTAAATTAATACAAGATTCTTGTTTTTCTAATTAAGCTAGTCCTCAACAGAAGACGCTGCATATGCCAAAATAAGGTATTCAGATCCAGTTGTTTTTGTAGCATCATCAAAATCCAGTTCGGAAGTAGTTTTTCTAGTGGTTTGGCTAATGAATGAAAAACCAAAAAATATTGTGAGCCCATGGTTAATAATGATCTGTGTAGATGTGCAAAGTTTCTTTGAAATCCATCATTCGATTCCAGTGTTTCTTGTGCACAAACAGTGGCAGTCGTGGGCGAAATCCGGGCCCAGTTCAAAGGGCTGGGTTGAGGGGGTGGGGGGATCTACTAATACAATTACTAGGGTGTGTCTACTAATACAATTACTCGTCTAACCAGTGGCGTCACGGAGTTTGTAAGGCCCTGGCGCTGACGCTTATTGGGGGCCTTAAAAGAGAACTAGCAAAATGATTTTTTTGTTTTAGAGGAGATTTTTGATATGCCATTAATAATAGAATCAACATTAAAATCGTTATTTGGCAATTGTTTATGAAGTTACAGGCCATTATATACGATTTTACCGTGACGTCACTGGCGAAAAAAAGTAACAAAAGATTGTGTATATGGCGCCGCGTAGGGTATCCATCGCGTACGATCTTTGCGTGCATGCTGTAACCATGGTTGTTGTAACTTGCATATCAAGTCATAGGCCTATAACTGCATAAGCCGTTGTCAACAAATGATTTACAACCATGGTTACAGTATGCACGCAAAGATCGTACGCGGCGGATACCCTACGCGGTTTTATTTGCACGATCTTTTGTTACATTTTTCGCCAGTGACGTCACGATTAAATAGGATTATAATGGCCTATTACTTCATAAGAAATTGCCAAAAAACGATTTTAAGGTTTACTCTATTATTAATGGCATATTAAAATTCCCCTCTAGAACAAAAAAATCATTTTGCTAGCGAAGAGGATAGGTAACGTCGCCTCGTCTTCCGACAGATATTAGCATCTGTCTCTTATACACATCTAGATGTGTATAAGAGACAGCGCCTAGACTCTTCCAGTCTACTTCGCGACGCTATCGTTCGCCTACAACGGATTTTGCATTGTGCTGTTTTTCCGAATTTTTGGAAATGTATTCGGAAAACGATACTCCGACATGTTCACGATTGACACGAGACACGCCATGGTCGACAGCGCCGTCAGTTTAATGTCGACAGTCGGCGTCGTAATCTTGTCCGCGATGGCCGGAGCTTTGCGGACGACGGTGGCAGACGATCGCTTGGTGGACGGAAAAACGATGGAGACGGCGTTCTCGTGTCTGTTGGGCAATTACCTTTTGCTGCTTCTGAGCGGATTGGGAACATCCAGCGCGGTCGTGAGACCGATAAACCTGTCTCTTATACACATCTAGATGTGTATAAGAGACAGTTTACGAGCGGAGCTAGCAAACAGACGCAGGGGGAAAGGGGACACATAGGACCCCCGGACGGAGTCCCCTGGTGGTGGTGGTGGTGGTGGGATACGAGGGGGCTTTTGCGCTCAGAGCTTATGTCATTTATGAACTGTTAACTGAGTTAATAGAGAATATGGAATGGTCCATGACTGATGAAATATTTCGGACAATTTTATGACAAAACCTACATTGATTACATAGGCCAACTTTGGAACTGGTATTGGCCTACCAGTAGGCCTACGTTCAAGTTCAAAATAACATTTATTTCCTTCAAAACGTGAATTACAATCTTCTTTGAAATGTAACAAATAAATAAGATAAGTATTGAAGGAGGCACAATTCCGAAAAGCAGAGCTTGTAATGGATGTGCCCTAGACAACACATTAACGAGAAAACAAAAGAGACAAACATTTAATGATGATAATAATAATAATAATAATAATAATAATAATAATAATAACAATAATAATAATAGAGCATTTCAATATATAGATGAAAAATTATTTTTAAAAATACATATGCCTACATAATAGGAAATATAAGGGAAAAATCTGTACTCTATAGGTGTAAATAAAGAGAATATTTTAGTGAGAAACATACAATGCAAATCATATTGATCACAAAATCAGAAACAAATGTCAAATATTAGAATTCAGCTTTTATTGTTTAAAACTGTCGGGGTCCCATTGAATGAAAATATGGTATTGTTTATATATTTTTTTTAAACTACAATGTCGGGGCCCCTCGTGCCTGGGGAACCTGGCTCTCCGCCCCCCCCCCCCGTCAGCGCCCGAGCGTGACGCCACTGCAAACCAATGCCACTCACTGTTACTCATCTGTTACTGTCAGTAACAAAGCCTTGACGTTATTGACATCCAAAGTAAAATTATACTTATAAATAAAACAGTGTAATGAGATTGATAAATCTTTCAATTTATATAATTAACGAAGATATATATACAGTATATATATATTATTTTTAGAGATTTCAGAGGAACGGAGGGCTTAATAAAATAAATATAAAATGTTTTTAACGAAATTTCCGATTTTTCTTGGCGGAGGGTGCGCTAACTTGACAAAAATAAAGTTTATATGAATTCAAAATCACAATTTTTGGCGGTCGGAAGGTTCGCTAAAGAAGGTATAAAAAGTCTCGACTTACAGCTGATATGTAAATAGTTCGAAATAATGAAGAAAGGTCTACTAGAATTCACATATTATATGCTAATCAAATTACTGTATAATTATATATAACAGCATGCGCTTGTTGATATTTAAGTGATACAGTGACACTCGAGAAATTCGATTACTAAAAATTCATGGCCCCAACACGTTCTCGCCAGGGCCCCGTTACCCGTCTTACTACACTCACATTTTATTCAGTTACGAGCTTTATTATAAAGCTATAATAGTGCCCGTGTGTGAAATACTTTAGCAGGGCAATTGAAATAACAAAAACGTTGGCCCAAATTTTTACTTCTTGTTATGTTGCAACCCAATGGTGAATTTAAATATTTAAGATATAGGCCGAATACATTATATTGTTTAAATGATGTCTTTATAAAAAGGGAGTCTGAGGATATTTTCAATGCACTGCTAAATAACGACGGATTTTCTTATTCTCAAACATTTATTCTAAAAATTTTAAAAAATCGATGATATTTGGATTAATCAATGGAGAGATAATGTTCAAAACAAACCATCCCTCTCAGTGTATGCATCCTTAAAGACTCATCCTGTATTAGAGCATTACAAAATATACGCACTGATGAAATCTTTAAATTGCAAATAGAATTACTTGACAATATAGAATGATATAATAAATTTATTAATGCAAACGATGACATAAAAATAGGCCTACATTATATTTTGGGCTCTTCATTGTTGCTACTTAGCTATAGCAGAAAGTATGAAAATATCTTCGACAAGTTTTTCGAAAGATATACCAAAAGAGCTTGGAAATAATTCCGCAGTGAGATATTGAATTCCATACTCTATTATACAGTTTATCTCTGTTTTTCAATTTTATTTTAGTTGTTTTCTCTTGTGCATTACTGTTTTGATGTTATTTTTTATGTTTGAGTTTTAAGATTCATTCTTTTAAGGGGAAGGGGTAAATGTTTACATTATTGGGGAGGGAAGAAAGGTACAATACTTAGCATATTGTTTCTGAAAATGAGGGGTAAAGTTTAGTTCAGTTTCATTTCTGGGGAGGGGTAACAGTTGAACTATCAGGGAAGTAGGGGGAAGGGAGAAAAGGATTAATTTAAAGCCGTTTTGAGTTAGTTTTAAATTTTAGTTGTTTTGTTTCGGAAGCAACTTAATTCTTTTCAAAGCATGCCACTGATGTGAAAGTACAAGTCCAAAAAAATATTATTATTATTATTATTATTATTATAGTACGATTCAGCTACCTAAAATTTTAAAAAAGAAATATTGACCCAATGTAAAAGGAATAGTAATACTCAAATAATTGAAAAAAATGCCGATAATTCTATTGACCTGATGAGAGAACTTTTCTAAAATTTGCAATTTTCTTCCAGTAGCGATTTATCCTTCGGAAATGATTTGGATTTCCGTTCAGCACTTTTACACTATTATTGCAATGTTTTGGTGACTGGTGATATATTTGATAATTTGCCTTCAAACTTGGTTTATAAGAGTAACCGTTCCGGAAGATCGGGAACCAAATATAATTGACGTACTGCTGCATTGATTTGATAAACAATGACTGTTCTTTCTCTTGTCTTAACAAACCAAACCTAAAAACAAAGAATAAAAAATTCATGGGTTACCGGTATGTAAAGTGTATGTTCCTGTAATACGCATCGTCTGATAGGAATAATATTTATAGTAGGTAAAATAGAGAACATTTCCAATTATTACAAAAAAAAAGATGATTTACGGTACTTGTAGTAGGTTTTTGCATGTTATTGTTAATGCAAATTGACAAGATTTGACTGCTTATGAATGATTACATGGGGTGATATATTCAATGTTCTCAACTGCTAAATCCAAATGACTTGTCCAGGCAATGAAATAAACAATGGCTGGCCTGGAACTTATATCATCATATATATAGGTTTCATGTGTAGGTTCCAGCAGTGCCACCGAGAAGGGGGGGGGGGGGGTTGGGGGGGGGGGGTTGATGAGGAAAGATCCAAGGAAAGGTACCAAGCTTACCAGAGGTCTAAAATTCAAAAATAATAATTGCTATCATGTAATTATCGCATGGGTTCCCTAGTAATGGGCCTCTCCATTACAGTTTTCCCTCTTTGGCGGCCTTGGGCCCGAGGCTCATGAGCAGATTTCTCGCACGATTAAAAAAATCGTAACGGTACAGGGTTGGTCTACAGGAGTTCGTGCTTCGAACAGGTCATTCCATTGTTTTCAGGCCATTATTATGGAAAGTTAAGCCAATCTAATCAAAAGTCATGCTATTCAATCAAAACTTTAGTGAAATGATCCACTGTAGAGTTTGGCCAAGTTATATTTTATTTGCACTGTCACATCTGGCAGCAGTAATGACGTTATCTTCTAGTTTGGGATTAGAACGAATGACTACACTACTTGTCAAACGAATACACAGTATAACTTTACATTGGATCATTTTAAATCGCTGTCGTTTATATAATTCTACAGCAGTGGATCATTTCACTCCTGTTCGACTGTTTGAATTTATAGAAATAATTTTACATCACGGATTTCACTTTATGGTGAATCTTCAGGTTCAACCATTTAACTTTGTAGTGGACCATTTCATTTCACGTCCCACCACTAAAATTTTGATTGAATTGGTTATAAAACGTACGTTAGAATTATGCATAAATGTTTTGAGTTTAGATTAAGCGGTTTGAGTTTCCATTAGATGATTTGGTTTCTGCTTGGATGTTTTGGTTTTTCATTACGTGATTTGTATTAATATTAAAACAGTGATTTGGAAAAGATACGTTTAGATTTTGGACGAAGATTTGGCTTTCTATTTGATTAATTCGTTTTTGAATGAATTGTTTAATGTTTGATTTGATGATTTGGTTGTTGAATGTATGGTTTGTTTAACATACGTTCGACCATAAATTAAATGGGTTTAGCTTACGTTAGTGTATGTTTCGTTGACTAACGTATTTTGGCGGATTATTACCATAATATTCCATCATTTTTCTAACAAATCAAAACACTATGCAAGCTCAGATGACATCATCTTCTTGTTTGGCATTAGAATGAATGAATTCACTTTACAATCATCAAACGATCGACTGCACAGCATATTAAATGGTCTGAATCTACCATGGTTCGTTTGACTTTACATTGGATCATTTGAATTTGTTGTGGATCATTTCATTCTATTTTTAACCATTTTACTTATTATGGTCACGGTTCGTTCTGTCTCTTATACACATCTAGATGTGTATAAGAGACAGATAGAATGATATAATAAATTTATTAATGCAAACGATGACTTAAAAATAGGCCTACATTATATTTTGGGCTCTAAATCTAAAAATTTAAAATTTTAATTCAATTTAAAGCTGTTTTAGGGCTTATCTTATTTATAATATAGGCCACACACGTGTGTTTGGAACTAAATATAAGCATTTTCATCATGGTTGTATTTATTACAAACACAATCTTTCACCATCTATACACATTAAGGCCCTTCTTTTAGGTTAAAATGATCTATCTTAAATTTTGTCTTTCTTGAGTTTGGGACTATTATGTGTTTAAATAACTTAAAAGGATAAAACTTGAAAAAGCCCTAAAAAATGCGCGCCAAGCGCGCAAAATATTTTTGTGTTTTTAATTCTAATTTCGTCGGAATTGATGAAAACTATCTAAAATGTGCAATTTATAGAGGAAATTGTCCTACCGTAACAAGAAATGCGCGCAAAGAATTTGAGAATTTTAGGCACTTTCTGAAGATGCATTTGTCAAGGAGTGGAGAAAGATTTCCAAAGATGGATATTTTCCCCATGTCCCCCGGTGTTTTTAATTCTAATTTCGTTGAAATTGATCAAAACTCCCTAAAATGTGCAATTTTTAGAGGAAATTGGGCCATGTTAACAAGAAATGCGCGCAAAATTTGAGGTTTTGAGGCACTTTCAGGGGATGAAAGGGCATTTATAAAGGGGGTGGGGAAGATTGTTCAAAGATAGATATTTTCCCCTTGTCCCCCAGTGGTTACGCCATCGGGCAGCATA